GCTCCAAATTGTCCTCGTTGGCGAACCTGACCTGTGATGGTTCGCTAATTTGCTGACTGACTAGATCGAGATAGTCTCAATAGAGTATATCGACTGGGCTAAATTCATTGAAGGTATATGTAGTCTGGTGTTTTTAATATCATTTGAATGTAGCGCCTATCAATATGACATAGCAACCCATGAAGAATTGGGAGAGAACAATATGAGATGTAGTTAAGACTACCAATACCGACGCACCTGTGGTATATGTCCGTCAAGGCGGGAAAAAAGCTTGCGAATAATCAATATAGGATCCCGAAGAGATAAGCCATGTAGAAGATAATGACTCGGACGATGAGCTGCGTGGCTAATATCCCAATAGGCCTCAAAAAGGAAAGAGGATCGGGCGACTGTATAGTGACATGAGATTTAGTAACTGACCGAATCGGTTCTGTATTCGCAGGAAACTTGAATTCCTTTCTTGTCTTGGGTATTAGAGATATGGTAGAGAAACACACCGCGTATCCGCAAGTTTGGGTTCACATCTTTCAAGCCGTTTGGGTCTCACGACCTCTTTAAAGGGCTGGATCAAGGTAAAAGAGTCATGATGTCGAACAAAAACACGAAAAGGGTCTCCTGATAGAAGCTTTCCCTTGCTATCTGAGGATCACGTCAGAAATTATCTTGGTGTTTGCCTGACACCTCGGGTTTTGACATACCGGCTTTTGAAGCACCCATAAAATCCAGATCCAGGGTTAATAACAGGGCGAGTAACAATGTTATTCACTCGGTTATTAAGTACGTAGTAGACGAGCCATAAATGGCAACTACTTCGTAGGTCATCCAGTCGATATGTTCGCATTATCCGAAAAGTTCCGTCGGGGCTATGTTATGAACTAAATTTCCGCTGTGCGTCAGTTTTTACACCATGGGCCAGCCGAATGTTCAGATTTAATTGAATAAAATATCCCACTACTTAGCGTTACTCGTGTTTTCCTATCGTTTTGTAAAGTAAAATGTGCTGTTAGACACCATTGTGATAATTTACTTCGTACTGTAGAGGCCATCTCTGATCTTGAGACATAATGTCTAGAAGTCACCATTTGAGCTTATCCTAGAACGATAGGTACCATACGATAGCAACATTGGGGCTGGATAGATCTAGATATGTTATGGTTCAAATTTTAGTTTCTATATAACTGGTATCCAAAGTGTTGATTATTATCTATAAAAGTATGCCCATATCATCCTATGTACTTGTGCCTAAGACTTGATGCATTTATTAAGTCAATCAAGGTGTGTTTAGTAATATATTGACAAGTAGATCCAATAATGGACTCATATATAAGAATTCATCAAGCAGGATGCTTGGTGGATTCGTTGAAAGAGAGTTCAGACACAAAATCTTCCCATGTCTTCCAGGATACGTCTTCAGAAGAGCCACTATTCCCTCCAGGAGCATCAGTACTTCCCAAGCTCTGACCGTGCAGCATCTGTGGCACGGACCATGTCGACATCGATGGATTTGTTACAGTAGAATTTTCAAAAGACGGGAACAAATTTGCCTCATCGAAATCGAAATCCATAGCGAGTTGAGGATCGAGTTGAGGATCGAGTTGGCTCATAGAAAAGTCCATCGAGTTAGGGTCTATGTCGGTCGCAGTAGGATCTGGTGATCCTAAATGCGGGTTATAATCCGCTTGGCCGAGGCTAAACGAAGGTTGTGGCGACCCCTGGAGAGAATTCTGGTTGCGTAAAAGGACGCTGATCCTCTTCCTAGCCTGCATCATTAATCTTTCCAGCGGCTTTTTAAACATCCCTCGACGGTAAGTTTCCATGTCTATCTTATGGTGCTCAAAAGCTCTCTCAATTATTGGCCAGGCGGTCTGAAGAGTCGCGACATCTGCGCCGACATAACATTCAGCGATAGCGCTCGCTAGTGCGTGCCACTGAATCACCATGTACCATCTAAACCCCTCCCCTCTAGGGCTGGTTCTGATTAGGTGTACCTCATCCAAAGTCTTCAAGGCGTCGTCGAGGATCTCTGTAAACTTTCCACGAGGAGCGGGCTGGTTGGCAACGCGGTGTAATGGCCTCAGAGCTGCAAGACGCATTGATGCTACCTGTGACTGTGCCCCATGGAAAGTGAACCATGCATATGCGCTTGATTCTGGATCGCACAATTTCAAAAGATTCGAAATCTGTTGCTGAAAGAGTGAAGCATGTCTTTCTCGTTCTTCCCAATTGAGTTTGTCCGCCTCCTTACCATGAAAATTCAGGAGTCGTCCGCTTAACTGCGCATGATATGTGACGAGAGCAAAAGTCATATCAGTCAGGCCATCTCTGCTCTGAAGTTCCCCTGGAGTGTCGACGTCAAACTCGGAATCATTGATATTGGCAGGAAAATCCGATGATGTTGCATCAACTTCTATGAGTGGCTCTGTGGCTTCTTCAAGTGCCCCCTGAAGATCTAAAAGACACACCGTGAACCATAGCCGACGTCTCATCTGCCGGTTAAAGAAAGACTCTACTCTTCCTATGTGTATAGATAGAGCTTTTGCTATCCGAACGGCTAACGCGATCATAGTCCAGACGGCGCGGCTTGAATCCTCAGTCCGCCTAGCAGTAAGATATAATACGAAGGCTTGTAGGACAGTGATATCACTCGTCGTCAATAGTTCTGAGCTTTCGAGAGCGGCTTCACAAGCTGCTCTAAATTGTGCCATAAGCGTAAGCTTTCTTGTATTGAACCCTTTTTGGCATTGCTCTTCTGTCATGCTCGACACGGCAGAGAAGCAGACGGCCGAGCTCAAACATATCGTAGATATGTGGTTAGTATCGTATCCCAAATAGCGCTGACCATTTTGCATAAAATTGCTAAGCGAGGGCCGATGCAAAATTTTGATGATGGGGTCTACTTGACGGAGGTATATTTCGCATAGTTGAGCTGTCACGGTAGAGCTTTTTAGATGATCATTAATCGCTGGGAGACCACCATGACTAGATGATCCAATACCAATTACCCTCAAATTAGTACCAAAACTAGAATTCGGGGTTGACCAAACGCTCTCCTCGTCATCCGAGGCCCGCTCGACGATATCACGGAGGCCTTCTACCTTTGTAACATTAGTTGATGTGAAGCATCATAAAGGGACACATATTACCTCGTCTGCAATCTGAGCCCAGAACTGCCACCCAACATCATTCTCAGTATCTTTTCCCACTTCAGCGCTAGCTGTGGTCGTCGGTCCGGGCTCCGATACCGAGTCTTTCAATTCATTGATATTTGAAGCTAGAGCCTCCAGGTTTCGTATTCGGGACATTAACTCCTCGCCGGTATTGAGTGTTACGAGTGACCGGGGGTGGGTATGGCGACCACGAGGTAAGCGCTTGCGATGAATAGGGACGCATACCACGTCGGCCTTTACGCAATTGGAGCATGGATTGGATTTGTCGCACTTGATTTTTCGCTTCCTATTATAGAATAAGTTAGTATCGACCCATCTACGGGCAATATCTTTTAAGTCATACTTGCATAGCTCGCAGCTAAGCTGTGGAATATCAGCCCCCGGTTTGCCGGAGCGGCGACCACGCCAGTCAGCATTATCCGCAGCCTGTGATGTTGATGTCGACATTATTTAATACATAATTACAGTTCTCTTTGACAGTTAATACTGGCCAGATATGAGGTCGTATATAAACTCAAGACGCACGGGTCGCATTTAATATTAATAATAGGCAGCAATCGGTATAGCTCCAAGGCAGATATCTCCATTATGGACCTTTACTAACCTAAACAAGAATTCGCTACCTGTAATGAACTTCATGTTGCATGATGGTAAACATATCCAAGGCAGAATTCCAGGCAGTCGTAGGATGTAAATGGACTACTATTGACTGCTGATTAAACAACGCTGATAAGATGTATTGATTCGAAGGATCCTACTCTAGTAGTAGTGGGGAGGGATTTGGTAATACTAGTAAACCGATCAGAACTTATAGAATACAATAATATCAAACTGTCCTCATTCAAAGCTATCCTCTTTAGATGAAGACTGTTTATACAATCACTACCAAATAGGCAACTACTCCTTAAATGCAGTTAAAAGGCTTGATTTTTATTTATTGGTTGCTTTTACGACCTACATACCTATTGGAAACTTTATTTCTTCATTTGTAAGAAATGGGAATATTATTCGTGCCTGTATGTACAGCTGTGGCTCAGCAAGAAGCAAAGCCGAGGCATACACCCCTTGGATTATTCTACATACCTATAGCATCTTCGTTCAACTGATGCGGCGATGCCTATCTATAATAGAATATTTTGCCATGAAATGGCGAGCATTTACAATATACCGAACCTAGATTGTGAAGGTTCCTGGAATAAAAATATACCTACAAGTCCTAACCAATCTCGGTATTCCAAAACTAAATCAAAAATACTCGAACCCTCATGAATGTGTCTTAAATTCGTGATACTTTATAAACCATAAACATTATATATTAACTCATTGTATAGTCTTGCAATCCCATAAACTGTTAACATACATGAACTATTAGCTATTTTAGAATATTAGGTAATTGGCGAGTCAAGTATTCTTCAACTACTGCCATTTATAAACGCCTCTGATAACATTGCAATGTCAAGTTATGTATGTGCAATAAATAACCTTACGGTTTAATGCTGAAAAGCTTCAGTAAATTTCGGGACACATATTAACTCAACTAGCTCATTAAATCATTCACGAATAAATAAGGGCATACTTGAATTATCTCCCTATAATCTATCCCGAAATACAACTTTAAAATGAACAAGAACATGTACATAAATGACTGCAACTTCATAAGATAAAGATCTCAGGCTAATTCCTCCTTAGCCTCTCTCTATCGTCGTTGATCCTGGCTACTGGAAGTACGCCGATGTACTATTGTTGATATATGCCGTTAATATCTGAAAGACAAAGGTTAATGTTAGAGAGGAAGAGAAATTACTTGGTTTCCTGTTTACATTACTAACCTAGGGTATATGGTTCTGTCATATTACGATTTTACCTCAATCAGATCATCAAATAGGCCTCATATAATATTGTCTATTCAGTACGCATCAGTTGTGTGACAGTAAGGTACCAGTGTTGCTCATTAAAAAGCCAAAAAATTAGCAGATAATTATTATTCCTTATAAACCTCAAAATAGCCACCTTAAAATGGTCAGCCAAGAAGAGCCTCGGACCAGAATGATCGATCAAGACAAGCTTCATACACTCAATCGATTCTTTACTCGAATTTAACAGGATGCTATAACTCTTAGCTTTGCATTGCGATGGTACCAGAAACGAACACAATGAGAACGGTCGCATACGTCGCCCCGGCGAGGATCAATTCCGTCGTCTTTGACTTTGCTAAACAGGAAAGCATGAGAAGATACGAAACCGTAGACACCATAATAATGATAATTCGGACCGAAAAAGTGCTGACGAGATTGCATATCATAACCGGAACCATCAGGAGAAGGGTTACCAAGACGATTAAAAGAGCGTTCGCAGTCCGCCGGACCCAGGGACCCCTATATATATGCACATTCGGATCGGTAGAAAGTTCGCGGGCTGCGGTCTATAACTGTCAGCCAGCCAGTCGTTTGGCGAGATATGGAGACAGATCATTGCAGCTTTCTTACTCTTCGGTACCTATGCAAGAGTCGGACCAATTTATCTTGTACCCACGTTTCGAGTTGTTGAATCCCACTGTCAGTCACTGGTGCTAGACTGACAAGTTCACTCCGGCATGAGAGGTAGGCTGTTTCATCTCTGGCTAGACAGCCGGTCCCCTGGACCCAATTTTGAAGGCTGGCTATGTCCCTTCGAGTGGCAGAATGCAGGCTCAGAATTCGACTGGTTCTTTCGACGAGTTCATCTGACTCCGTTAACGGCTGCGCGGGGGTTATTTGGGATTCTCACCATAGTCGGCCAGAGCCGCTTCGATCTTTGAAAGGGTAGACAACCGGTCTGGGTTCTGGTCGCATCGGTTCTTCCCAAGAAAGAGAAGAGACGTCTCTTGCTTGTCAATCTGGTCTAACTCATGCTCCAGTACGGATAACTGATCTTGTTTTCGCAAGAGGATTCGAGCCCGTAGCTTATCGAATCGACGAAATATCAGCCAGCGAAGATTTGAAGATAGAAGTGCGGTGTACCGAGGATACCCAGGCCGACACTCTTCAACTAGAGGATACAGTCAGATTTCGATCTAGAGAGGGATTGCAATCAGGCACACATACTTTTTCCGGCTTCCGGATCGTCCATATGTCAATGCTTGTAGTAATTTTCTTGCAGGGAATCTGCTAGAATATTCAGCCGGTCAGGGTATGCATTGAGCGTAGCACTGAGTATCGAAGGTGGTGGTGTACGTCAGGCTGGAAAGGACAACTCAATATAAATACCTCACTACCTCCTACTTATATATAATGGGATTATCAGCCAATTACTACTTATCTTCTTTTCTCAAATAGATTTATGAAGAGTGTTGATTTGATATCTATCAACCACCATGTCACACCAAGATAGGTATGTACTTCCTTCCCCCATCTCAGCCTACCTACAGAGGCATCTAATACGTACACGTTATGTAGCAACGATCAAGACAAATTTTTCTTCTCCGATGAGGAAGACCGTCCTTGGATCGACCCCTACGCTGAGGTGAGTAGTTTCTATGTATTAAGACGTCGCCCGGCCCCAATTAAATTCGCATATAGACACCGGAATTTCACGTTGGGGATAAGGTCTATCTGCTAAGCTCCAACGGATCCCTTGAGGGCCCTTACTTAGTTGCATCTGTTCCTTCTAGGCATAAGTGTACCCTTAGCCTAGAAAACGGTCAAAATGCTAAGAATGGTGAGGTGTTCGAAATGGCGGGGCTTCAGGCTGCATGAATGTAGCCACGACCTTTAGACTGACGGTCACGGTGAACTCCTAATGGCTGCCTTCATTATATTAAAGAGGCGGGCGGGGTATGTCAGACGCTACAACGGTGAATGTGGTGTGCCTTATAAGTACGCCTAATTTAGAGTGCTTCAGGCTCTTAGGCACTATATTCACAGCCTTATTATTCCATTTTCTGCCTGACGTGTCGATGTGACAATAAACCATGCTTTTAAACTAGCCTGGTAGTGAATAAAGGTAGTGCTGTTGATATTCGTGTTGATATTTGTGTATAGTAACTCTATCAATCATCAGGGGGTATCACGACAACCCGATTCCACCATGGGTGAGCAGCACACTGCCAATAGGCATTACGCGATCCTCATTGGCATCGATTCTTATCCCGGGGCACCTTTGACGAGCTGTGTACGAGACGTTAGTATAGTTAAAGAATGCCTCATCAACACGCTGCCTTTTGTCAATATCCAAACCTTCACGGCCGGCAGGGATCTTGACTCCAAACCCGTAACGCCGCTCGAAACTCCGAACAGCTGGCCGACGTGCGGTAACGTAATTTCGGCTTTGACTTCTATCACAACCCAAGCGAACCATGGCGACTTCTTCTATCTCCATTATTCTGGCCATGGTACTAGATTGAAAGGAAGTCATCCTTTTTCGAATCATTCAACCAGAGACTTAGCGCTGGTTCTCCTGAAGGGAGATAAGAGCGGCGTGGAACTCTTTTGTGGTCCAACGTTGGCTTCCCTTCTCAAATGCATGGTAGGGAAGGGAGTAGTGGTTACTGTTGTCTTAGACTGCTGCTTCTCTGGGAGTGTATATCGCAATAGCGGCTGCAGCGTTCGGTATCTCCCGCCTAGCTCTGTGACAGCCTCGACGGCTTCATTTGACTTAAACGATAGCCTCACAAGACATGCCATATATACTACAAGCCGAGATGCATCTATGCGAGACAACTGGCTTCTGGATCCGGATCGGTACTATACTTGCCGCGTGCGGACCTCATGAAAACGCTAAGGGGGGAGGAATAGAAATGAGTGAAAAAGGAGAACGATATGGAGCGTTGTCCTACTTTCTTTCCAAAACATTATCCCACTATGGGCTTAGAAGGAAACACATGGACATTCATCGCCATCTGTGTGCCAGATTCTGGGAATCACGCGTGTCACAACATCCTGTTTTGTATGGAAATGGACACCAGGGTTTCTTCGGCCAGGTCGATCTGGATCATGACGTGAAGTCTATCTGCATAACCAAACATGAAGGGAAGTTTTATATCCGCGTAGGCCGGGCACATGGCCTCTGTGACGGGGACCGGTTTGCTATATCTCCCCTAGGATCAGGAAACTTGCCAAGGGAAGAGAGAGGCCTTATGGCGAAGGCGGGAGTCACTTGCGTTGGGTCTCTCATATCCGAGTTGAAGCTTTTGGATGCACCATGCGATCTCCAAACAGGGTGGACCGCAGAACCACTTACTTGCTCATATCTCGCCAAATATCCAGTTCAGTTGGGGACTAATATTTCACATCGTGATGAATGGCAGACGCAGTTGATAAGACGATCTCTCGTCACTTTAGTCGACAGTCGTGATCAACACCCAACGTTCCTGGTTGAGCTAAGCAATAATGAATATGAAATATTTGATAAACCTGGTCAGAAAATTACCAACCTACCCCCAGTCACACTGCAAGATCAAGCAGGTCCCAGCCGCGTTTGCGATATTCTAGAACACTTAGCTCGATTCAACATGGTGAAGGACTTGACTAATGAGTCACCCAAAACTTCTTTTCGAAAGTCGTCTGATATTCAGATAATAGACCTGAATGGAAAGTCATTTGGCCCAGGCGAACAGATAGATGTTCAAGATAATGATGCTATCAAGATCGTTATGAGGAACTTGGGGGAGACGGTTCTGTATGTTCATTTGTATGACCTGGATCCTTGTTGGGGGGTCAAGGGTATGCTTCGTAGCGATTACGAAGCCATACCTTCACGGAATGACGCCAAGGGATTTACAGGATGCTCAACCAAAAAGATCAGAATGAAAAATCCTCTTGCGACGCAGGGGTCATGCGAGGATATAATCAAGGTTTTCATTACGTCCCTACCAACATCGTTTGACATGCTAGAGCTGCCCAAACTCCATGAGCTTGCAAAGAGGAATGTTAGAGATAGGGTCACTCCGAGTTACGATCACGTATCGGAGGATTGGATATCTTTACAATTTCCTATTCGCATATCACTGCCAAACAGTTAACCTGGTTAGCAACTCCTCATTCAACTCTACGAACTGTGTAGTTGTTGGATGCTGACAGTGGCTTACCTGCCTGCCTAGGTACCTGTATCTATTAGATATTAGAGATAGACATGAAATAGGCCTTTCTACTGCAAACCACCTGTGCTTCTTCAGTATTTATATGCTATGTTCTCGATTCCATTGCAAATCTTTAAAATATTATAGCCCCAAGGTCTAAGGACTTAGAAAGGGGATTCTACCTATGCTATCAATCTTACCCTACCACCGTCCTATTTCAATTTTCCGTCCAGCGACAACGACAACACACTTATGTAAAGCCCATAATGAAACCAACTAAACACCAAAATGAATGTAGGGAACCCAGTTAAAGCATCCCGATGCCTCTTCGTCACTCTCCGACTCTATAACTGTGGCATCTCTCATCCTCTTCTTGTACATTTTGATTTCATCATCGCGCAACTGTTTCACGGCTCGATGTAGTCCCCGACAGACCGCGACATCCGTCATCCCCTCATTTCGCAGCGTCTCGTATAGAACCCTCGCTACATCAACGCAGTGACTATCTGATACCTGCCAGAGAGTGCCTACAACGTGTCGAAAGCCCGCCAGTTGAAAGGCGCTCACGAGATGGATACCCTCGTCAGCTAGATCCTCTGCCTCGTTTGATCCAGTCGAACAAGCCGATAGATAACTTAAAAAGGGCGGTCTCTTCTGAAGCTCCCGATCACGCAGATCTTCCACGGTAAGTGGATCGGTTTCCCAGTCTTGGAGAAGCAAACAGCTTTGCGAAGGCTCTGAGGGATCGGATTTTCCATGGCCTGCAAAGTGGAATATCTGGCATTTGGTTAGGTGCTCCATGACATCGCTTTTGCGTGGCACGGGCATAACTGGCGTCAACTGGAGCGAGGGACAGAGATTGCTTAACATATCGGTTTCCCTCGTGGCAAAAGGAAGAAATCCGTTTGTAGTTAGCCCCGGCGTTTGCTTCATGGCTACTAGAAGAGCATGGTTAGATGAAAGTTTTGCGGGATCGTGCGGGAGACGTCGACGGCCGTGAACCAAGGCTTTGATTGACGAGGCATACGATGACATGACTCTGTCCAGTGTGGTCTCGCTAGACCCAGATACATGTCTTCCAGCCGCATGGAGTGGTAACCGACTTAGAAGTCCTGTAGGAATCCACCACACGTGGGGAAGGTTGCCAGAGTTAGGGGTTTTATAACCTAGTTCGTCTAGACATGGGCGGCAAACAACTTTCCACAGCCACTCTAACATTTTGGCTGTAGAGGAATCAGTTTTTCGAGGCGACTGAAGGTAATGAACCCATCTTTTGGCATCGAGCAGATTTAAGTCAGGCAAGTTCAACACCCTGATCTGCGTTCTCTCAATAAGGAACGCATCGCATCGACATGGGCTCAGATTAACAATGACGATGGGATCAGGGTCTGCTGCAGATATCAACTCAGCCCGGTCCGGAGGCAACAGGAAGTTGTGGAACTCAGGATTAGCACGAATTTTCGTGATGAGTTCGTTGAACCTTTCATCCGCATCGCGACGTTGTTTAGCTTTCGATTCCCAGGTAGATGGATCATCGCTAGGTAAGACCGCTGGCGAATTCAGCTCGTCTCGTAGAGATGAAAACTTGTCTGCCAAATCCGGGTATTTCTGCTGGAGATCTGAAATATCCGTGCGCATATCTATCAATAGGCCAGCAATGATACCGCGTCCAAGTTCAAGAAGCCGCAGCGCATTGTCGGCCCCCTTTCCCGCATTTAGAGAAACCGCCGCCGCCAAAGAAGCTAAGCCAGCCAAGTCCTTACCAAGCATATGCTGCTTATCAGTATGCTTCAAAGACCGCGGGCTTATGGCTGGGAAAAGGTGGATGGCTTCCTCTAGAAGTTGGCTGGACTCTTCCCACTTGCATTGTAGTGTCAAGACTTGGGCAGCTGCATAAGCCGCACGAACCCGATCGCGTGCGCCTGCGGCGTGACAGTCCCATTCCTCTTTATACGAGCGAAGCCTCCAGTCCAAATCATCTGCCGACTCGGTCACATTATACCTATGCTCGAGCCATCCTCCAAGGTTGTATGCCATATTCGTCCGACTTGAGTGGCCTTGGGGTGTCACATCCAGTGCCTTGCTCGCCATGTCAATGGCGCCGTTGAGATGTTCTAAATTGCCAGTTTTAAAAAATCGATAGCCTAGGCTATTCCCAAGGGTAGTTAATCCTGAAATTCGATCGATAAGACTTATATGTGAGTTATCCAGTGCCCTCTTTGTTAGTTCTATAGCATGATCAAAATCTTCTATCGAATCTGTTTGCCGGTATCGTTTGTGATATTGAACCCCAAGGTTAATCATGTGAACAATTTGTTGCTCTTGGTCCTGGGATGTAATATTACTTATTGACATTTTTGAGACCTCAATAGCACGATCCAAGTCATTCATCGAACCAGTCCGATCATACCGGTTGCTTAGCCAAATTGCGAGGGTCCCTAACCGAGAAGCTCGATCGCGGTGGTCTAGGGGCGTGGCATCTATGGCAGCATTCGACAGATCAATCGCACGGTTCAAATCATATATGGAGCCGTCTCGCTCAAATCGACGGCCTAGTCGGGATGCAAAATTCATTAATAGAACGGCGCGGCCAGGTTGATCATGGATGGGAATGTTCATGGCTATGTTTGAAAGCTCAATAGAACGGTTCAAATCATCCATCGAACCAGTCTGTACGAACCGAAAGACAAGTCCAGCTGCAAGGGAATCCAGGAGCTTAGATCGAGCAGGATGATCCTCGGGGATTGAGCTGATTGCAGTGTTTATAATATCGATAGACCGGCTCAGATCAGCTATCGAACCAGTCTGCTGATATCGCGAGGTAAGGACCTCTCCGAAAAGTGCTAGCCGTTCGGCTTGGCGAGGGTGATTATGAGGTGTAGCGTCCACCACCGCTGTGGTGATATCGATGGCGTGGTTCAAATCGTCTAACGAACCAGTTCTTCGATATCGAAGACTAAGCCGTAAGGCAAGGGCGTATAACTGTTGCATTGTGGATGGATGGTTTGGCGGCATTCCATCAACAATACCTGTTAGAATACTAACGGCACGGTCAAGATTCTCTATCAGGCCAGTATGGGTATATATTACTCCAAGGCAATTCGCCAAATTATTTCTTACACTTATATATGCACGATGGCCAACAGGCACGAGGTTTGTTGCCATATCTAGCTTGTCGAGGGCGCTGTTAAGGTCGCTCATCGAACCTGTCCGGCTATATCGGTTTACCAAAGCGGTCCCAAGGTTACTCATTCGATTAGCCAGGTCGGCGAGACTATCTTCGTGTGTGGCATCCACTGCCATACTGAACATGTCGATACAACGATTCATGTCATCTTCCGAATTGGTTCGTCGAAACCGGTCACTGAAACAGGACCCAAGACAGTTCAAAGCGGGTGCGTAAGCGGGATGATCTGAAGTTATGCTGTTCAAAGCCCCTTCCAAGATATCGATCGCACGATTTAAATCGTTCATCGAGTCGGTCCAACGGAAGCGATCACACAGTCTAGTTCCCAGAGAATTCAAAATGATAGTGTACTTTGGATTGTCTGAAGTTAGTGTTTAAAGCCTCGTTCAAAATATCGATGGAACGGTTTAAATCGTCCATCGAACCGGTTTGCTCGAATCGAACACCGAACTGGATTCCAAGGCATATTAATGGGGGGCGTCTATCGGGATGGTTTTCCGACATGATATCGACAGTCATTTCCGAAACTTCAATGGCGCGATTTAAATCCTCGATTAGATCAGTTTTCTCATAAAGTTGGTTAAGCCGCGCCGCTAGTCTCACTAGACAATCGATTCGATGAGGATGGTCTAGCGGTGTAGTAGACTCTAGTTGCATATTCAAGGTGTTAATGGAATGCCTCAAGTCGTCTATTGAGTCTGTTTGGTCAAACCGGCGGCCGAGCATCATGCTTAAGTTTCCTAGCCGACATGCTAGGGTGGGATCATCCTGAGGTGTAGTATCTACCATCATGTTCAACACGTCGATAGCACGATTGATATCGTTGGTTGATTCGAGCCGTCTAAATCGATCCCAGAGCATACCAGCTAGGTTACTTAACGCCGTGCTCCTTGGTGCTACAGTGATCGCTTGCTCCAGCATGCGAATGGCCTCGTTTAAGTAATGCAGAATGCCTGTTTGCTGATACCTGCTGAAGACCACGACGGCCTGATAGATCAAACCATCTAGATCGTCAAGTACTGATAGATCTGATCTTTATTGTCATATATTAGCACATGTCATCTAGGTATATAGATCTTCTTTGTGGCGGCTGTGGATAGTAAATACCGAAGGGTATAAACAAAGGACAACAGCCCTGGTATGGAGGAAGCTGGGGATAGGAGATAACTAAAGCCTACACATCTTGGGTATACGAATGTTTAACGTAATCTCCCGTGAAGCTAAGCCTGTTGGCTCGCAGTGATAGCAAATTGAGGATGCTGAATCTTCGTTCGCGATCGTGGTCAAAAAGGCCCAGTGTCGTGATCCATTGCTTCGTCAATTGCATAGCTCGGCGGAGACATTCGAATGACTGGTTTCGCGTAAAGAGAAGGAGAGAGGCATAGACATATAACTCTACTTGGTTATCTATTACCGTATCCTCGTGCATCATGGAGAGGAGGAGGAGCTCTTCGTTGTTCATGTCACCGAGGTCGTTGATGATTTCCGGATCGAGGTGAAATAGTTTCATCTCAGCAGGCTCTATAGCATGCTGTGAACTGTCCACGAGCTTGTCCCTAGGTCTACGGCCTGTTAACTGCCCTGTTACTGTAATATTATAATTGCATTATTATCATCATTGGCATGACGTACATGGAGGTAGACTGGCCGAAAGCCCCCCAGGGCAGAGGGTTTGTAGCCATATGTCTGTTTGTCTTCTCGTATTGTTTTGGATTAGGTAGGTCTCGGAGCTAGGCTGTGTGGATGTAGGGAGATAATACTTATGATCAAACATTCACCCCTAAGCAGGGCTTTGTCTCAGATATAAGTGTGGTCAAGAATTTCCGATGTCAGCACCCGTCTTACATTAGGCACTGTTGCATATATAAAGTAACAACATTTAGCTATGTGATTACAAGATACCTTTTGGCCAAGTGGTCAATCTGACAGCCTACCTACATGTATGTAACCCAACCGGCCAATTAGGTCATCTTACGCAGGATGAATTAACCCACTCTTCTACCGGGGTGCCTTATATGTCTTATAGATTTAGGGTATTTCCTTGACTGACATAAGGCTGAGCTATAAAGCAAAGGCTTCCCGGTGACCAGTTGTTCACTGTTCCCCAATTTTGTATTATGTATATCATATGTGTTACCCCGCCCTGGTCCGTAATATATTAGTATGAGTTAAAGTGGTAGACAAGTAGTTCTTAGGTGTTCGTCAGAAAGGCTTGTGGTCCTTTCTCATAGTATGTGTTAGGTATTATACTCAGAACTTAGACTGACTAGTAAGTTAATAATATACCTAGAACCTGTAAAATGAATACACTGTCACGAGGTGGGACTAAGCAGTAGGGAAACAACTTCTTTGTTCTGCAAGGAACTCTAATCTGACTACGAAGGCTTATGTCTATACATACTAAACACGTCCTTTGTTCTAGATGTCCTATCTAGAATCCTGATATACACAAGGAGATCATCTCTTCTTATATTTATCCTACCTTCCATATATTCTGAGTCAATTAGTAAATATATATTTGAACATCTCTAGTTTACTGATTCCCTGATCTCTCCTGATCGTTAGATCATAGTTTTGGAGTTGTCATCCGTATAGTCCAATGATCGAATCACGTGACCCCCTGCCGTGCCTCTTGAATTCGTAACAATAAGCAGATAAAGGTCTTAGCTATGTACATTGTTCACCAATGATAATAATATGACATAGACAAGGCTTTAGGGCAATATTAATCTTTGTACCTTTCCTCCACTTAAGAATACCCTTGAGGATCAGCAGACAACTCATGCATCTACAACAATTACAGTCGCAATATCTTCCCAATCACAATCACTTCATTTAGAATAATGGTAGTATTACTTGATATATCATGCAACGCAGAATTAAGGCTGCATCAAGTTAACTGCTAGGAGTATAGTCATGAGTTATATCATTAGTTACGGTTCAGCCGCACTACTACTGGAGATGGTGGGTCTCCGTACCAATGTTGAAGTTCTATCCGTTTTGGGAAGTTAAAGGCGGTCCATAAAGCTTACCCCTATTATTTTTGGCATGCTTCCTAGTTATTTAGAGGTCCCGCGATGATCATATGCCACTATTTTCAGATTTTAATAACGCCTGTCGCTTGATACTATAGGTCCCTTGCTATCTGTGTAACTTCATGGCCCTGAAACGGTAGGAATGAGCGGGTGATGAGCTACGTAGACAACCCATAACATGTGATATAGGTTCCCTTAGTAAAACTGAAATTTGTATATAATGGTGCGATATTTCCCTCTTTATGGGACTTAAACTAGACACGCTCACATCACTACCTTCACCACATCAACGGCAAGACACTACAACAATATTCTATTATCGTGAAGCCACGGAAGCCTTGAATCCTGATACTCTTCAAATAAAACTCGAAATATTACAATAAATTTCCTCCACTCCAAGATGCTTGCATACTTCACCGTCCTATTTGCCGTCTTGGGTGTAGCCAGAGCGGCACAGATCACCGTGAGTAGTAATATGAGATACCCAGGGCCATCGATAGATACCATATGTTCCGCTTTAGAACTAACTTAACCATTTCCTCAGGGATCTTGCCCTTCGGGTCAGACGTTGATTTCCAATAACAAGTGCTGCCCTGGCTATTCCATAATCAGCGGCGAAAACCACACAGATTGTTGCATCACCGAACAGGGCAACAATGGCAATTGCCATGGCGTCGGGCTTTGCGGAAATGCCATTGGCACCTGCAAAGCTAAGATATCTGTAGATGACCCTGTACGTAAGCATAAACCGAAACCATATAACTCATCTTCACGTTTCCTATATAAGGGAACTTACTGACTTTTGGTACACAGGACTACGACCAGAAGGTTCAAGATGCGCTCTCCGGTACGACAGCTTCTCAATCTAGTTCATCACCATCCTCATCGGCTGAAACCAGCCCTGTGGCCTCTTCCACTCCCAGTCCCACTGGCTCTGACTTGGCTCCAGGCTCCTCTACCTCTTCCGGCTCCTCTTCTACTTCTTCCTCGACCTCCGGGGCTACCACCACGGAGAATAACAAGGCAATGCTCGCAATGGTGGCCGCTCTAGCCGCTATCCCGCTATATTTTACCAGCTTTAAGGTCGCTAGAGGGGCTTACATAGGTGATGATTCGAGTAGTGGCATATGTATACGATTTTATTCATTCGGCTAGCCCCTTAAACTAGCCTTAATCAGTTTTGTTTCTTTTCGGCTGTCGAGAATTTTAAAGAAAAATCACCCGAATAATTATATTCTGGTACCCATTCGCTTTTTCCTGACATTAAATAGATACCATAGAAATATAGATCTCTTTATAATTAGGCCACCAGTTAAGTATTTGGCCTTTATTATGAGGCTGGTGAAGCTTTGAAGTAATATGAAATTTATTACGTAAGTTCCTATGAAAGGAGATAGTTAGGATTCATATACGATGGACTCAAATTGTTAGAAGATTTACTGAAGGGACGAAAGAAGATGTTCGTCGCGGATTTATTAGCTTTATGCTTCCTCCGCCTGAACAAAGTCCCTTTGCGGAGAAGGGATACTCGTAGCAAAACGGCATCGACCGACCATAGCCTCTGCTGAATTAAGTATAAAACTTTCCATCGCTTTTCTATCTGTAGGATATCTCCCGCTCCCTTTATATGATGCTATTTCCATTAGATTATCAAGTAAGTACTCTTTCTCATTTTCTCCCGCCCCTTCATATGACAAATACATTTGAGGGAGGAATGCGATGGAGGCTACCATCCCTAAGCCCTTGATGAATGGGATGCATGTCCACATTTTCTTACAAAGGTCTCTGTGCTCTTCTTCTAGGGCTGAGTCTGGCTGCTTTAGTATAACTGTCAAGTGGTGCAGAAGTCGATTAAAAACCGTTCGCATCATGACATATGATATAAAACATAACATTCGATGTAAACTGCCAAAATAGAGCTTCACACCAATTGGAGATTTAGGATCTGTTTGTTCAAGTACATGCCCTGCGCTATAGATCCTTTCTAGGATTGGCTCGCCGATACATGTGATATCCGCAGCGAGAGCCGCGACTTTGTCATGAAGGGCCAATGCTTGTATTTGTTGTGAGTTCACATCTGGGTTACTGTCAACACGTCGAAATCCGTGGAGGAGGTCGGGCCAGTATCCATAGTAGTGACCTACGCTATAGCAATCAGCCAGTTCACTTGATACAGAGTGCTCTATAGCTAGGAACGATTGCTCAATTGCCTCCTTCCATGGTGAGCTCAAATAGAAGTTTTCGCCTCCCGCGACAAGCCAATGGGATATCTAAATGGATCAAGTTAGTCAAGCTTATTCTTTTCATGAATGGGGATTTAAAAAGGGGACGGGGCGGGAGCTATTCTTACTAGGGCTGCGTGATTTTCAAATGCTAAATGAATATCTAATTCATCTCGAGGATTCGGTGGACCTCGCTTGATCATCAGAGTTTGGATTCCTTCCCAGTGGTGAGATCGAAAATAGGGGCGTTGCGTATCGAATATAAGCTCGAGCCGTTCTAGAATGGTTGCAGCGGCTAGCGTTTCACTTCTGAGCTGTTGATGAGGGTCGTTTATGGCACGCTGAAGAGTCCTCAGTGCTTTTACATAAAGGTTCGAATCAAGTAGTTTGGTTGTCGTAAAACCTCGTCGTGAGTTGATCCAAGTAGAGGACATTAAAGCAACGCAGTCTCTCAATGCGGCACTTTCGCCCAATCTAGCCGGCAGGTGTTTAATATACCCACAAGAAGCTAGTATATCCCATGGGGCATTTTCGTGGGAGAGATATCCAACAAGACGAGCAGCTACACGCTCCGCCACAGTCGTGAGGTTTTCCCGCGGCCCATCGGGAGCAAATCGGAAATGTCCAAACGAAGCTCCACCTGGCAATCCTCGTTGGCGGATGCTCTCTAGGTTACCAACCGGTCTCTTATGAGTCGTGAGCTGGGTTGCAACCTCATCCCCCCTAGCTTCGTCAGTGGTCGAGGAGTGGGAGCTGGTATGGATAAACTTGGTCAGATTAGAAGGGCCAGAACAATCAACCCCAGCACGTATGCATGGAGTACATGTCGGCCAGTTCTCATCGCACTAAATAAGGTGGATAGATATAATTAGTCTAGCTGGCTCTTTCTTCTACGTAGGTTTATTCCCACCTTAATTTTGATGCGTTTACAGCGCTGACATCGTTTAGATCTAGGTACGCCTACCATTTTTGAAGTGTGTCGATCGATGTTGAAACTGTTTACTAAAAGAGACACAAAATGCGGTCTATGGAGTTTTGGCTAGTCTTTCGTATATAGAGGGACTGAGCTGCAGCCACGCTCAATTGATAAGAGGGAGCATCGCAGCAACATACTTGATTTGGTAAATGAAATGCCCGTTTTCGTCAGAAGATCTCCAATTTTCTTTTTTGGTAAGACAAACCAAAACACCTGTTCCATATGTAGGTAGGCCTTAGCTTTTCAGCTGACATTCATATAAGCGCATGTCAGATTATAGCACTCGGAAGTACCAAGTAATAGGTATGGATAACCTATGCGTCACCGGAGGTGTATAGACTTATAAAGCTAATTTCTAATTAAAACTGATATTCAGATACCTCGCATTCCTGATAGTGCTTCTTCTATAAAAGCACAACTGGATAGGCTGTATTATGAGAATGTTAGTGAGGAAACATGGCTCTACTTTGCATAGACTCAGCTGTGGTAGTCAGCACGACATTCCTAACCAAAAATCGTATAGATGCTGCGATTGGTACCTGTTAGCTATGAGATATAAGACGTATCATTATTAGCTTTTCTAGGCTCCATTGTGGCTGTGTCAATAGAAGCTGGCTCAGCGCAATATTGATTGGAATCCTTCACCGTATCTGTGGTTAACTAGGGGTAGGTAGAAGAAAAATGAGTATCACATCCTTATAAGGCGAAAACAAGGGTAGTTACCTATTCTTTAAAATATCAGATTGCAACTAGATACTATACAACATGAAGACATTGTGTTGTATAATAATGGCTTCGATTTTTCTATAGGTCAAGTACCTGGTACCTACGTCAAGAAATAGGGGTTGTGAGAATATACCTAAGGTGCAACTGTCATGTCTTGTATTACTATACGTGGACGTAACTATATGTTAGGTACCTAACCTACCTAACCTACCTAAATCCACTTACCTGATTACGGCATAGGTATTAATGGCTGGTAGCTACATCACCACAAGGCAGCCAATTAGCAATTAAAGCCAGTAACCTAAGCCAGGTAATTTAAGCATCTATCCGCCCAAGTTTATTGTTTAAAATGTATTGGCTCTACATACATACGTCACCTATTTCCTATTTGTCAAATTAGATGAATATAACAGGTACCTAACCTACTGATAGATAACCCCATTGATTAGATCTTATCAGCCCTTACGCGGGATTCGGCACGGGCCTTAATGAATTAATTACCTATAATATGTAAATGCTGCTTTTAGCTAAGTCTAAAACGGTAGCAGTTACCTTGTTCGCCAAGGACCTGCGAAGCCTCCTCTCTACTACGTAATGCGGCGCAGCGATTTTTCATTACAGCGTTTATTCTACATACATAGTGCTCATGGCTGCTATGTAATACGCAACTCTCTCTTTAATCCTGCCTGCCTGTCCAACTCCAACTCCAACTCCAACTCCAACTCCACCTTCAACTCCTTTAATTCCAGGTAACAAAACTCTACATTTGCATGTAGCGCCCAACCGCACAGCATATTCACGCCATTTTTTAGTGCTTCGTTTGCTTTTTGTCAACAGCGTAATTTCAATTAACTGCATAAAGAGTGCAGATAATTGATATAATTACCCTAGCTCTTCTAGCAAGCTTTACGCGTACCTGCAGAATTTACCAAATAGAGCTTAGTCCCCCCGATCGCGTTCGTCCCGCTTCGACCTTAGACCGTTCGTCCAACTTCGTCACTCCCTCTCGTATATTCTATCCTTCATATCTATCCCGTGGTATTCCAAGCTAGCCAGGTCGTATACGAGAAGGGGAGGACCTTGTCCGTTCTGCTGGTAGGGTCAGCAACCACGGACCGCTTCATGGGTACGGGGTAATATGCTTTTTGGTACCCGATAGTACTTCCCCGCAAGATCGATACATAGATGATCTTCGGTTCGTTGCCTTCCTGGAATTTGTTATATTTCAGCATATCTGGCGGGTGTCACGACTCACCAAGCTGGCATAAAGACGATAGCCTTAGTTGTGCTACGCGCACTCGGCCTGACTTGAAGTCGGCCTATATATCGTCGCCTGTCCGCGTTGATGTGCCATTCCATCAATGCCTAGCTCTATATCATCAGAGAAACGAATCGGCCTCCTAGACGACGATGAGGCTCAAGCCTCGTCGTCTGCCTCTTCCTCTCTTCTCGGAAATGACGCGCGAAAAGATTTAGAGGCTTCATCAGACGATCCAGTTGGGTCTGATCAGAAATGGGATAAACGACTCTTCTCGTGGTGTCTAGCTAGACCGAGAGGCCTTCGACGAAAGTTACGGAGAGGCCCTACGGGTTTGGCTCTCGCATTTCTCAGATACATCGTTATAATTATATGCATACTTTTAATAGGGACGCCTATCTTCGCTCCGTCCTACACGCGACTCCCTCAGCACTACCGAGACATGGAATCTCGATGTCAAGGGCCTATTCGAGAAGCGGGGTGTGCCAATATCAATAATGAGAAGATATTTATCGCCGTCTCTTTATATGATAAGGAGGGTCATCTGGCTAACGGTTTCTGGGGAGAGAGTCTGTTGGAGTTAATACATCTACTCGGTGACAACAATGTCTTTCTGAGCATTTACGAGAATGATAGCGGTCCGGAAGGTGCGGCGGCACTTGAAAGCCTAAGACGGCAGCTAAGGTGCAAGAATTACATTGTCAACGATCCTCACGTGCCCCTGTCGGACTTCCCGACTGTCACACTACCTGATGAAACCAAGCGAGTGAAGCGTCTAGCTTATTTGTCTGAAATGCGGAATCGGGCCTTGCGACCGCTCGACCGATTCGATCCAAGTGTTGGAACTGTTCAATATGACAAAATTCTTTTCCTGAATGATGTTGTATTTCACGCGATGGAAGCGGCGCATCTCCTTTTCAGTACCAATGTCGAGTCTGATGGACGATCACATTACTTATCAGCATGTGCCGTTGACTTCTGGACTCCATTAAAATTTTATGACCTCTATGTCACTCGTGATTACGAAGGTTATTCTGCTGGATTGCCCTTCTTTCCAGTATTCCTCAATGCTGGTGAAGGTGTATCGAGGACTGCCATCCTAAATCAAGAGGATGCCGTTCCTGTCCAGGCCTGTTGGAGCGGAATGGTAGCGATGCAGGCGAAATATATACAGAATATGAATGAGACGTTGCCGAATTCTCACTTTCAGGATATTGGCAGCTATGTTATCGACCCCGCTAAGCCACATAACGTCACGGCACCTGTTCGGTTTCGTTACGAGCCCGAGCTCTTCTTTGACGCCTGTGAGTGCTGCCTATTCCATGCCGACGTGGCCCGAGTAGCAAGGAAAGACGGAGAGAAAGAGTTGGGCATATATATGAATCCTTACGTTCGAGTTGCATATACAGAAAACACTCTCTCCTGGCTGCCTTTGGTTCGAAGATTCGAACGGTTATTTAGTATTCCACACGCCTTATTATCGCATATCTTGTCCTTACCAACGCGTAACCCGCATCGTACAGTCCAAGAAGGTGATATATTCACTGAAGAGATCTGGGTTGGGGAGGGCAACACCGGCCATTGGCAATTGGTACAGCGGGAGGGCCGCAATGGCATGTTTTGTGGGGTGAGAGAAATGCAAGCTATCAAGCTTGGTAAGTTTCCACGGGAACGTTGCTATTTTCTATACTAATATTAAGCTTAGATGAGCGTGATGAAGACAAGAACTGGGAGAATATCAAGATCCCTGCTGGCCAGGTAATGCATTTCCCCACATAGCACGGAGAGGTGCAACGGTCAGGTGAGAAGTGGGACCCAATGGTGAGTTGGAGAATAAGAGAAGAGGCCGAGAAAGCTCGTAAGAAGCAGCAACTCGAATCCTCTTAAATCTCCCAGCACACTGGCAAATCATTGGAAGCTGCCCTTGGTGAGAGCAAGGCACTTTCTTTGGAGTCCTACCAGCTACTGTTGCACCGCAAAGTGTATCAAAGTAAATCGGATCAGGCACACCCCTAAGGTTACAGCTATTGGTTACAAGGCTTGGAGTTGCGATACTGAATTATATCGGCTCCTGGGTTACATATATAAGACAGAATTGCCGAGAAAAATGCAAACTATCCTGGTCGGTGTCGGCCACGATAGTTGATAGATAGGCAGCTTGGATTGTTCGGCATGGACATTGATACCAGCTCCACTTAACTCTCTTATAAGGATGATGTATTAAAAGTCCTGGTGGAGATATTATTATCTGGTCGTTTGAGGAAAGCATCAATAAAGGGTGCGAAATTAGACCGTCTCTAATCAAAACAGCTAGAGAGACGATGTATACTGTATTCAGGGTAAACCATCGGTTTTAATGACGCGTAGAATACAGAGATAGGAAGTAACTAATTATTACTATTGTTCATATGAAATGTTACCTCTTATTCTTGTAAAAAGTATTCACTTGGGTGATATATTTTAACCAAGCTAGTAAGTGTTCAACCCGTGATTAAAGGGCACCATAGCAAGTGAAGTCAACGCGCATACTAAAAGAACAGACCAAAATTTAAGGATGGAAGTTCAATGTCATAAGCATTAGTACCTACCTAACACTACCTAGGTACCTAAGGCAGGTTGTTCCGAGTCAATAGAATCTAGCAATGTATGTGATTACTAAGGCTCATCTTACCCCTTTTCTTACGGCTGCTCTGTCACTTGGTGGAGAGATTCCCCCCCTTTTTGGCACTCAGGGAGATGCCGAGGGGAGATGATAGGGTAGTTGTTCTATAAGAGAGATTGAAAAGAAAAAATAGGTGTACGTGATACCAGGTTCAATCTTGAGAGATACGAATGGGTTACGAATGGGTTTGTCTGTAGAGTTGGAAGCTATAATTCAATT